CTACGTAAAAGAATAAATGGACACAAATCAGATGTCAAGAATTATAACATTCATAAACCAGTCGGAGAACACTTCAATCTCTCTGGTCACGCAATCACAGACATGAAGGTCGCTATCTTAAAACAAAAAAACTTCAAATCCAGACTCCAGTGAGAAACTGCTGAATTGGAATTCATTTGCAAATTGGATACTATTAATTTAGGCTTAAATAGAGACTGGGAGTGGCTAAGTCATTATGCAAGGTAGCCTGTTTCCTCTTGTTTTTTCCTACCCCCCCCCCCAGCTGTTCTGGTTTAACTTGGATTTAAACTTGGAGAGTGGTCAGTTTAGATGAGCTATTACCAGCAGGAGAGTGAGTTTGTGTGTGTATGGGGGGGGGGGGGGGGATGTGAGAAAACCTGGATCTATGCAGGAAATAGCCTGACTTGATTATGTAAAGAGTTGTCACTTTGGATGGGCTAGCACCAGCAGGAGAGTGAATTTGTGTGGGGGGGTGGAGGGTGAGAAAACCTGGATTTGTGCTGGAAATGGCCCACCTGTTGATCACTTTAGATAAGCTATTACCAGCAGGACAGTGGGGTGGGAGGAGGTATTGTTTCATATTCTCTGTGTGTATATAAAGTCTGCTGCAGTTTCCACGGTAAACATCTGATGAAGTGAGCTGTAGCTCAGGAAAGCTCATGCTCAAATAAATTGGTTAGTCTCTAAGGTGCCACAAGTACTCCTTTTCTTTTTGCGAATACAGACTAACACGGCTGTTCCTCTGAAACCGTTCAGATTACATGGTTTCTAGTGCAGGAGTACTTTATATTTATGGTTTTAAATCTTGATCTCCTTGTGCAGAAGGCACTGACTTAGAGGAAGCTAAGTAAGACTATTTTCTTGAACATGACCCTAATGGGTGGAGGAAGGGGAGCATGGATTTCAAATGATTTTTCCTGCAATTTCCTGCCATGTACTGGAGAGTTGCTTACATATGGGAAATAGTGTGACTTACTACAGCTTCCTCACTATCTCTCTCAAAGGTTCTTTGTTTTACAGCAGAGGGGTGTCAAACAAAGATAGTTTTGTTACCATAATTATAGTTGACATTTAAACATAATTATGCTTGAAAAAAAGCTAAGCTTCAGGTTAAACAGATTGCATCTACATGGGAAACTTTGCTAAAATTCCCCACCAGCATACCTCTACCAGTAGGCTATTTTCTGTTTGTGCATTTGATAGCACATTAGATGGGGTAATGTAAGTTTGACTGGTTTCAGAGTAGCAGCTGTGTTAGTCTGTATCCACAAAAAGAACACAAGTTTGTGTGGCACCTTAAAGACTAAAATTTGAGCATAAGCTCAAAATAAGTTTGACTATATAGTCAGTTTCCCTTTGTTTGACTGGGGTTCCCCCCACCCTCACCACACAGTGAGAAGCCACTTTTTCAAGCATGATGCTACAATTTTGAAACCACAAAAGTTGACAGGACCAGAGTGTTGGTGTAGTATTCAAGACTATCCCTTTAACCTGAGTTTTTAAACTGACTGAATTTCAAGTCAACAGGACCCCTACTGAATCTTTAAGGTAATTTTAAGCTAGTTTCTACTAATCAGAAATTTACTTCATTGTAGCTATATTTCACCAGGAGGGAGATGGAGAAATACAGGAGACAGGGAAATATAGGTAGGCAGCTAGCTGCTGCTTAGGGAAGAGTAATAGATGTAAACCTCTCCTCCCCCCTCTAAACATTTAATCTTCTTTATTCCTGCCCAGAATGGGAACTGGAAATTTATCCAGCCCTTTCTGGGTGCCAGAATTCTCAATGGACTTCTGACCAGATGCTAAAACCTGTTTTATTGTACATGAGAATTTTTGTGAGGGTAGGCAGAGAAATGTATTCATTTTTCAGTACAGAACTGTAGGTTGAAAAGGACAGAATTCACTGCAGGTATCCAGAACACAAGTGGAACTGGCTAGATATGCAGCCTGAACTCTCCACCAGTTAAATTTGGTGAGCCATCACAGCAAGTGTAGTAATTTTTGTTCACTAGTTAAGGCTACACTAGTTATAAATTAGTAGGAGCTGGTTAAGATTCCTCTCTCATTTAACTGTGTTTTTAGCTTTAGTGTATAAATCTGATCTCAAATCTAGAACAGTTGTAGTCCATGGAACACTGGTGATCTGTTGAGACTGCATAGTCACAGGTTTCCAACTTCCCTTGTAGCCATCTGCTAAGCCACCTTGCTTCCACAGAACAAGGTTAGAAGAGCAGTTTCTGTATTTGCCACAGGGGTGTTTTGATATTACTGGCAGATATGGTGGTCCATGCTACTGCCGAAAACAGAAGGGGTGGTGTTCCATATGGCACAATTATGATGTGAACCACCTCATGAAAAATTCAGAAACCCTGAACTAGATACTACTGTGATCATTCTATATAGCGATCCTACTTGACATCTGGATTTAACTGACATAATCTAGTTTAGGAAAATGTGGAGTTTGTTACTGAATGGACACAGAGAACATTTAAAAATCCTGGTATGAACGATTAGTTTTTTGTGGCTGCAGAATGTTCTGACGTCTTATACCAACGTTAGTCATTTCAGCACCGTTTTCCTAACACTGCAGGCTCCCTCTACAGCATCATGCAAGTGTAACCTGATTATTTCAGCCAATAGACATGTTACAAGTCATCATTTTGACACATGATAGTCTCAAGACACTGCATGAGTAAGCTTAGAGGTTAACAGAGAACATTAACCTGTTGTAGAGGTCACAAATGCACTTCTTCCTGTCGAGGCAGACAGCAGAGGTACTATGAGTTACTCACACAGATGGAAACACACTGAAAACAGTTTAATACTGATGAAAGTATAGAGCACTGTTTACAGTTTATAGCCATCAGCTTTTCCACAGGAAGTTATGTATGTGGCAGGAAGTCTACTGCTGATTCTTTGATACACAGCTATATTGATCTTGTTTCAATAGAGGCAGATGAGATCTCTCCTCTAGGGTCTACCATAGCACCAAACATTTTTTGTCCAGAACTGGAAATAGGCAGTTAAAATATGCACCAGTTTCTGAAGTATACTGGCAGTTTTTACAAGACAGCCACAGAAGAAAGGGTATAATATATACAAAGCACAATCTACATCATTTTTGCAGCAGGAAGTTCCTCAGCATTGGAAGACTGACTTTTCAAAATCTGATCAGATCTCACATTTGATGAGGTCAGCTCCAGTACCAATTAAGAATATGGAATACATTAAGATTTTAGTTCAGAAAAATCAGAAACATGAAGTCTTTTTAAACAACTTTGTCACATTTTTAGAGAGACGCGAGACACAAGTGACCAGCCCTCACGCAGGCATAGCGTTGTATTAATATTTGCTTAAGGAAGTGTCAACAAAACAAAGGTCTAGAAACTAGGTGACAACTACAAACATCCTGGCAGATTTCAAATGTAAGGGAACAAACTAACGTTCTTGTAGCTAGGAGGACTTTTACCTTCGGGGGGGGACTCTGAGCAAGCACACATCAGAAACGCGCTAATAAGCGGCCAAACGCTCACTCTTTGCGCCATGGGGGGGGGGGGGGAGAAAGAGGAGACCAAAAGAGAAAATGGAAATTCCAGTTCTCCCCTTAGACACAAAACCTCAAGTGCCCCAGATGACGTGTCTCTTCCCCCCCCCCCCCCCAAGGGCCGCCCGCCCCGCGCCCTCAGAGGGGAAACCCAATACGTGGCACGGGTGCTGCGCTTTTCCGTCCATAAAGCGCCCTCCAGCCATGAGCTCATTGAGGAAGCTGCCGTCCACCCACGCCCTCACTCCGCTGTGGGGAAGTGGGGGTGGGGGGGCGGTGAGGCACCTGCCTTGCCCAGCCCCTCGCCGAGCCTTTGCTACCAGCCCGAGGGCCCGCCGCAGCGGAGCTTCCAGCAACGCGGCGTCCCGCCCGCGGCACGTTGCGGGCACTCGGGCCAGGGAGCGAGCGGCTCCACCCGGGCGGGGCGGGTCACCAGAGCCCCCGCCAGCCGCCTCACTCAGGCGGCCGCTGCCCCGCCAGCTCCTGCCCACGCAGAGGGAGAGGAGGGGAGCAGGGGAGCCCCCCCCCCACAGCCCATCTCCGGGGGAGCAGCCGCCCCTCCATCACCAAGCCGTACCGGGGGGGAGCCCCTTCATCCATCGCCTCCCCACCTGAGGGGCCAGGCACATACCCCCCCTCAGGTACTGGGGAGCGAAGGGCGGCCCCTCCATCGCCCCCCCCACCATACCTGCCCGAAGCAGCCCCGTCCCTCCCTAGTACCTGAGGGGGGGGTAAGGGCGGCCCCTCCATCGCCCCCCCACCATACCTGCCCGAAGCAGCCCCGTCCCTCCCCAGTACCTGAGGGGGGGGGGTAAGGGCGGCCCCTCCATCGCCCCCCCCCACCACCACACCTGCCTGAAGCAGCCTCGTCCCTCCCCAGTACTTGGGGGGGGGTAAGGGCGGCCCCTCCATCGCCCCCCCCCACCACACCTGCCCGAAGCAGCCCCGTCCCTCCCCAGTACCTGAGGGGGGGTAAGGGCAGCCCCTCCATCGCTCCCCCCCCCCACCACACACTTGCCTGAGGAGGCAGCCCCGTCCCTCCCCAGTACCTGAGGGGGGGGTAAGGGCAGCCCCTCCATCGCCCCCCCCACCGCCACCGCCACCACCACACCTGCCTGAAGCAGCCTCGTCCCTCCCCAGTACTGGGGGGGGGTAAGGGCGGCCCCTCCATCGCCCCCCCACCACCACACCTGCCTGAAGCAGCCTCGTCCCTCCCCAGTACTTGGGGGGGGTAAGGGCGGCCCCTCCATCGCCCCCCCCACCACCACACCTGCCTGAAGCAGCCTCGTCCCTCCCCAGTACTTGGGGGGGGGGTAAGGGCAGCCCCTCCATCGCCCCCACACACACCGGCCTGAGGCAGCCCCCCCCAGTACCTGAGGGGTTGTAAGGGCAGTTTCCTCCACCCCTGCGGGACCAGCCCCCCTCCCTTTACCTGGGGTGGCCGCGCCGAACCGAGCCTCCTCTCCGCGCTGCAGGACTGACTGGCTGCCTGGAGGAGGCACCAGCTGCCTTAAATTTAGAGCGCTCGCGGGCAGGGGAGGGGCGAGAGGGCGAATCCCGTCCGCGGCGCGTCACCCCCCGCCGCTTGAAAGCCCCGCGCGCGCCCCCTCCCCGCCCCATTGGACGGAGCGCCTCTCCTGAGGGGGCGGGGCCAGGAGCGAGCTCCGCCGTTTTGGATAGGAGCAACTTTTTCGCCAGCAGCCAATAGAGGTGGGTTCCGCGCTGCCTCAGCCCCGCCCCCTGCTGTAACCCTCGGTCATTGACCTCCACTAGACCACCTGGAGTCTGCAGCCGACTTCCTGGCACGCGGTTGCGCGGTACTGGCAGGGCCGGGAGCGTTGCTCAGGGGAGGTGGGACATAGGAGGGGGTCGGAGGAGCTGTTACAACAGCGGGGGATTGTCTCAATTAGCATCGATTGCTTATAAATATGGTTATAATCGGCCAGGGGCAGCAAACAAATTGCAGACCTGCTGGTAATAAATTGCATAACCTGCTGGTAATAAATCACAAGCAGGGGATGACAGATACTGGGAAAGTAAGCATTGGGGAACAAACAAAGCAGAACAGCAACAAAGTCTACAGCAATTTATTGCAGGCCAGTCTCAGGTGCAGTAACAACTCTTGGAGAAACTGGTGAGTCTCATGACAGGGAGTGATAAGTGGGGGATGGTCATGGGGCTGTGCAAAATGGGCCATATGCTTGACCCTGATGCCTTCTGGTTAATGTTTGAACGGATGGTTTCAGGAGCAGACTGGGTAAAGAGGGTATGGGGTCTTCAGCTGCCTCCCTCCCTGCCTTTCGGGGTATAAAGGGTATGGGCTCCCTATCAACCTCTCGTGAGAAACTCAAGCTGTTTATAGGGTGCTGTGGGATGAAAAAGCATCAGATTATGATACCATAAAGGCTGCCATTTTAGATCAGATGGGTCTGTCAGCAGATCGATACAGCCAGAAGTTTTAGGCAGCCAGGTGGTCACAGGGGACAAGACCTAGGGGCTTTGCACAAATTATTGGATTGGACCACTGGGTGGCTGAGGCCAGGTGAGGGGTTGGGGAGATCATGGACTTCATTATTTTGGAATAGCTTTTCCAGTGGCCACCCAAAGTCACTAGGTCTTGGGTGCGGAAGGTACTAACCCACTATTCTGGAAGCCACTGTTAAATTCACTGAGGAGTTTGTGGAAGCTGGTGTCCCTAGTAAAACAACATGTTCATTTAAAGAACATGACCTGGGGAGGAAAGATGAGGAACTACTGACTACAAAGTGCTGGAGAAGAAAAGAGAAGAGAGGAAAGACACCCCACCCACAAATTGCCAAACTGTTTATCAGTGTGGGGGCTCAGGACATCTGAAAAGGGACTGCCCCTATGTAGATGACAGTAACTCCTCATTTAACGTTGTTATGTTGCTGACCAATTAGGGAACATGCTCGTTTAAAGTTGTGCGATGCTCCCTTATAGTGTTGTTTGGCAGCTGCCTGCTTTCTCCACTGCTTGCAGGAAGAGCAGCCCGTTGGCGCTAGCTGGTGGAGGCTTGGAACCAGGGTGAGCCGGCAGTGCCCCTAAGTTCCCTGTGCAGCAGCTGCCCAGCAGGCTTTTCAATTGCCAGGCAGTTTGAGTGCCCCCCCCCCCTGCTGTGTGCTGCTCCTGCTCTCTGCCTTGGAGCTGCTTCCAGGAGCTTCCTGCTTGTTGTGCTGGGGGGGGGGGGAAGCGGAGGGAGAAGGGATGCTGATGTCAGGGTGTCCCCCTGCTCCTGTACCCCATCTCCACAGAGCTGGGGGATCGTGACAGGGCTCAGGATGGAGGGAGCTTGCTGGCAGCAGCTGCTGTTTCAACTTGTTGATCTACTTAAAAAGGCAGTGTACTTAGAGTGGGATCAGTGTACTTAAAGGGGTAATGCGTGTCTCTCTCTCTCACTCACACACACACACACACAGTGTGTGTGTCTCTCACACACACACATGCAACCCCCCTGGCCCTGGCAGTTTGGAAAGTGGAGGGACTGGTGCACCCCAGTGGGATAGGGTCATCATCACGTTCAGTTTCCACAGGGAATGTTTGCAGCTACTGCCAAGCATCTATTGTGTCTCTTCCCTCCATTCGTGCTCCTTGTAGAGTGTGAGGCTACATTAACAACAATATGTTAACACTTGAGGGCTCAGACGAGTGCTAGTTTATCATTTAGCAGTAAGGCATTCCCTGGGAAATAACCCACTCTCTTCCACCCTCTGACTCCACCACCTCAACCAAGCTTCACAATCATCATTGCTGTGTACAGTATTAAATTGTTTGTTTAAAACTTATACTGTGTGTGCGGCCAGCACATCCCTCGGCCCACGCAGCTACCCGCAGCCCCCATTGGCCTGGGACGGCAAACCGCAGCCAGTGGGAGCTGCGATCGGCTGAACCTGCAGATGCTGACCAGCCCGGTCCGCCAGGGGCTTTCCAAAGATTGCCGATCCCTGCTATATAATGTCTTTTGGATGGCGAAAAAAATTTCCCTGGAACCTAACCCCCACATTATTACATTAATTCTCATGGGGAAATTGGATTCGCTTAACATCATTTCACTTAAAGTAGGATTTTTAAGGAACATAACCACAACGCTACGTGAGAAGTTACTGTATAATCTTGCCAAGTTCAGGGGGGAGAGGGGAATCTTCAGGAAGCAATTAAAGCAAGCACTTATAGTCTCTCTGAGAGTTGGATGGTGACAAGAGACAGGTCTAGAAGATTTTGCTGAGGGATGCTTGTTGGTTAGGACACTGGGTGCTGGGAGAAAGATTGAGGCTAACGTATCCACAGGGAAAGAAAAATCTCCCAGTGGCCTGGGTGCCTTTGGAAGTTGGAGGAACATTTCAGAGGAAGCAGGCGGGAGTTGTCAAGGCATTGCCCCAATCTGTGTTAATTATGACAAATCAGAGCCCTTTTCCTTTAAGGAAGGAGAGAAATGCCTGAAGAACCAAACGGCTAGAGAGTGAGGGACCAGGGGAGATGCCAAGAAGCCAAAGTAGGAGCTAGAGAAAGAAGGAACAGGACAGACAAGGCAGAAACAGATGTTGGGGTTATCCTTGCCACTGGAATGCACCTTTTGTGGTAATGGGACAGGAAGCTGCCTATGACATTGTAAATAAAGTACACTGTGATGAACCTACAAAAGAGTATTATATGAGGACTGCTTGCAAAGAGAAATCCAGGTGACTAAGCCCACACTTCAACAGCTCTGGTCCTGGAAAGACTCACACACGCTTGATTTTACAATCAAGTAGTCTCATGGAAATCAAGTGTTTGAGGAAGACTGCAGAATTGGGTCCTACTGGAGCTAGTCAGGACACTTATGCTGAAATGACATTTTGGTAAAATACTCTTGTTAAAGCCAAAACATTTGGTGATGTGATAGTTTCCACAAAATCCTCATCAGGAAGGTTTTTGAGATAGACAGAGTTACTCTACAGCCAGGTGGTTAAGGTTCTGACCTGTGCTGTGGGAGACCTATATTCAAATCATTGATCTGCCTGATTTAGAGTGATCTGGAATGGAAAAGCTACTCTTAATCAGGGAGAGCAGGGACGTGACCTTGAGTCTGCAACATGCTGGTCAGTAGCGCTAAGGGAACAAAACCACCTTTTGAAACCTTGAATATTTTTGCAAAACAGAATTGTCATTTTCTAACAAATGACTCTGTCCTCTGTTGGTGATTGTGATGTTTTTCCATAGACAAAGGGAAAACATTTACCTTGTGTCTGGATGGCCTTTATTTTAGATGAAAGGCAATAACAAAGAACGTAGAAATGTAAAATCTTCACAAAGGAAGAGAGCAGTGTGGTTTTGTCTGCACTGGACTTTTGTCAGCAAAATGTTTGTCATTCAGGGGTGTGAAAAAAACACATACACCCCTGAACAAAAAAAGTTTTACCAACAAAAAGTGCCGGTGTGAACAGCGCTTTGTTGGCAGGAGAGCTCTCCCACAGCTGTGTCGCTAAAAGGTGCGTAGTGTAGACATAGCCTTGATGTGTGTCTCACTCTGTAACAGCAGTGTTGAACTACTAATACAAGTTAGTGTTTACTTTCTTCTTAATGGTGCAGTAGTTATCCCTGTATACAGCACAGTACTCTTCCAAGTTTCTACCAAAAATATAGTGTCTCTAAAAATAAAAATTATTCAAATCCTAATGTGCATATCAAATGTTGCAACAGAGAGCAGAGTAGATGTTTCCACTATACAATTAGAAACTAACTAGCAACATACTGACAGGTTTCAGAGTAGCAGCCCTGTTAGTCTGTATTCGCAAAAAGAAAAGGAGGGCTTGTGGCACCTTAGAGACTAACAAATTTATTTGAGCATAAGCTTTCGTCAGCTACAGCTCACTTCATCGGATGCATTCAGTGCTTTCAGGTCAGTGCAAAACAAAGCTCATAGCCTGCATCTACGCTAGAAAACATTGTAGCTGCAAACATTAGCCAGCCCTGCCAGCAAGAACAGTAGACGTACTGAGCAGCAAAAAGGTAGTGTGGCCTACTAGATAAGACACTGGACTCACTTAATTCTCCTCCCATGTATGACTCCAGAGATGCTAAGTAGGGCTAGATGATAAGATAAAAAATGGCTGAGTCTTATCTACACTATAACGTCTGTCATTGCTGCTAATGGTGGAGCAATATGAAGCGGGAATTATGGCTACAAAGTTTGCTATGATAGACAAGGCTATGTGCAGCATAAAAGATCTTACTCTCTCCAGTGAAGGAAAGTGTGTCCACACCTGTCTTTTGCTATGATTCTGCAGTCTCCAGAAAGTGGAAAGGTATGCAGCAGATCTCTCTATGTCTTACTCCTGCTGCCTACAGAGGAGGGACTCTAACCAACACCAACTTCCTCATTGTAACTGTGGTAACTTTGTAGTAGTGGCGCCTCCTCACACAGATCTTAGCTGCCAAAGAACCTGATGACATTTGCCTACTTATCTGAATTTTGAACAGAACATTTGGATACTGCACTTTTCATGACTGCAGTCTGCCTGAGTCATTGTGTTGGAGGCTGACTCCAGTGGGCTGTTGAGTCAGATTTTACTGCAAATGATCTAAAATGCTCCCGATTACTGATACAGCAGAGCATATAAGCAGTATTTAAGAAATCGGAAACATAAAGCCTATGGTCCATTTGCTCCTGCATCTGCCTTTGTCCTTGGCCAATACCTACTGTTCAGGGGAGGAATATGGAATGCTTGAGAATGGAAGATGATCTGGTGGCACACTCCACCAGGAGTGCCAGAACCTCCCCTGCCCCACCTCTTCGCGCCCCCCCCCGCCTTTCCCCACCCTAGATTTTAAAAAGGCTGGGTCATTTTATGACCAATTGGTAATAACTTTTGTCCATGTGCCAATTAAAGCAAATCTCTTTCATTGCAGAGTGTAAATTGATCCCCTGCAGCTGTTGGGAACAAATCCTCCTCTCCTGGGCACAGTTGCCCCAGTAGCCAGCTGCATTGTAGAGGAGTGTGCTTTGCCCTAGTCTGAAGCATTGCCAATAATACATACACCTTCCAGCCAAGGATCATGGAGAGTTTAACAAACATTGTGAATTTATCCTCACAGTCCCCCAGTGCAAGATAGACCAGTGTTACAGACTCCATCTGA